TTTATTTTCTGTATTGGGGATTGCATTCAGCTCCCTCACACTGCACTATACCCTTAGCCTTTTCCTTAGTTTTTTGTTTTTGAGATAGGATCTCACTAAATTGGCCAGACTGGCCTCAAATTTGAAATCCTCCTGCCTCAGCTGGCTGGCATGACGGGTGTGTGCTACCATGCCAGGGCACAATATACACTAATAAGTCTACAGTTTCATCCACCATCACAGAAAACTAACAAGCTTTTGATTAAACTAAGGAGTTTATGAATACCTTCTTTTCTAGTGTAGGAGAGAATGTATAGTGCTATAAATTATGATTGTAACTGAGAGAAGAGCTAGGCATGCAGGAGAGGAAATACAACTTATATAAGGAGTGAAGGGAAAAATACAGTCTGATGAAGGACAGAAATGAAATTATGAAATTAGAGAGGGGCAACATCTTTGGAGGTTCAAAAGAGACCATTCCTCTGGGAAAGCAGTCTTTGGCACAGTATTTGGTTTAACAAACTACATTATCTTAACTTTTTGAAGTTACTCTTACCAGAAGTATCATGATTCATCAATAACACAGTTACGGAGTGGTTTGTGCGTGTCAGATGCTGAGCTCAGTACAGCAAACTCAAAGATGAGGAAAGGATCTCTCCTGTGAATGCATGCAGACTCGGTCCTCTGCTCCCAGATTTCTGGTCATGCCCTATCAGCCAACATTTTTCAGCCAAACTATCTATTGCATAGATAACAATTATCTGTAAGCCACACACACACACACACACACACACACACACACACACACATATGTGTATGTTTTTAAATAGAACAATACAAAAAATATGAATTGAAATATTTTAAAATACTATTCACACACATTAATTATGGTACAAAATTTAATAACTCGAGATCTGATTGTAAGTTTAGCTTATTTTGATAATTATAAAACTACACTATATACCACAACATACTAAAAATGCTGCATATTTTTGGCTGGATGTATTATGAGACAGTGAAATTCTTACTTTTAATACTGTTCCCAGTGATTTTTTGTGGCCTCCTGTTTTTAGATCTGATTATATCATCCTTGATTTTCACATATTTTTAACTTCATATAGACTTTTCATATTCTCTTTGTTCATTTGGGTCTTTATTATACATTTTCTAATGTAAAACATATTAAAATTTATATATAATATATCTAAGGTTGAGAACTACTGTGTAAGGAGTAATGTGGTCTAGGATCACTATCTTGGGTCAATAAAATCCAAGTTTTGTTCTGTCAAAGTTCTTGAAAAAATCATTTACTTTATCTATACTTCAGCATTTTATTGTTTTAATTGTTCAAACAAACAATCCCCAAAATCTAATTACACAGCTCTGACAAAAGTATTTGCAAAACTTTCTGAGGATAAATGGTACTGTCAGTGTATTTTATTTATAATTTATGTGGACTAGGATGGTATTATATATGTATTTTAGATTTCCTATTCTAAATGTTATTCAGTTAACTTATGTTTCCATTGTATACATGTATTCCATTGTATAGATCGCAATGGCTATTGCAAAGTGCAGCTAATGAAAACAATGTGAAGAATCCATACCTAATTTTAAAAGTTAAAGTTATAGAATATTGAATCTTATTATTCAACTTTTGACATCAGAATTATTGATACAAAAGATTTGTGTAAAAGGGAGGAGTGGAAAGAAGAATTGGAAAATTTCATCAATTTTTATTTCTATGTCCTACATAAAAAAAGTTATTTGTAAAAACTAGGGCTGTTAAGTAAGTTATGATCATTTGATTTAATTTGTTCCTCATAAACAGCCCTATAAAGTAGGATCTGCTATAGTTTTCATTCTACAAAAGAGGAAATTGAAGCACAGAGAATCAAGTTACCTTTTACACAAATTCTTAGCAATACCTAATTTCCATTGTAAAGTTACTTTAAAGAGATTGCTACAATATAAAGTAAATGCAGGATATTGTTTTGTTGTGCCAAATGTACTTTAATTACTTGAAAACTACTTACTCTTCAGGCCATTAATCTTCTATTAATTTATCAAGCAGATATAAAGATAGGCTCATATTCTCATTGTATGAACAATTGAACAGCAAACTTTTTTTAATGATTCTTTACTCTTGTACAATATTTTTCAGTGAGTGATATTAGCATTTGGAGAAAGAATTCACCTTTCAGCATGTGGCAACACCTGCAACCTTCTACCAACTACATGCCAGTAACTCATTTTGCCAATCCTAGTGTGTGGTGCTTTTTTCTGAGGCAGGGTCTCACTATGTAGTGCAGGCCGGTCTTCAGCTTGCTTAAGTAGCCCAGGCTGGCCTCAAACTCATGAGATCATGAAATCCTCCTGACTCAACCTCCTGAGAGTTTTCATTACAAGCATGTGCCACCACCATGCTAGGCAGTGATGCTTTAAAGGTGAAAGTATCACCAAAATTGAGTATCTTTGTACTAATGAAAGAGCCTCAACCATCAACAAATTGGGAACCCAAGTATTGAAGCTAATAAATTCTTAACTAAGAAATATTTGTTCTGCTGCATGTAATTGAAAACAAAATACACATGGAAATTCACATTTCTTATGTCGTAGACACGAGACATCATTTAGTTTAATTTAGTTATTGATTAATAAACGCTACAAATAAAAGTATTAACCAGAGTCAGAAATTGGGGCAATTTAGCAAGCCAGACTAAAAAATATTTCCTATCGATTCCTAAAATTTAAATTCTCTTGGGTTAAGAAATGAGAGTTCCAACAATAAAAAATTTCATTTCTTCCTGATTGAATTGTGAACACGTAGCACTGCAGTGCTTTGTGCTCTCTCTACTGGTGTGACTGACCTTCAGGCGAAAGTGATGAGGCGCCATCATCACATAATGCAGTGCCTCAGCTGAACATCTGTTCATGTACAGCAGTGTTTCTGTTTTGTTTTATTTTCAGCTTTTAAAACATGGTAGTTCCTTAAGAAATATTCACCACAATAAATGATAGACCTATTTAGCCATGATAGAGACATATAACAAAGCCATTATGAATGATATAGCAAACTGCTATTAAATAAGACAGCCTGTCACATCAACAAAAACAGTAATCAGTGTAATTATAGCAATAAAATAATATTTGTATTCAGTTCCTTTCAAGGAGTTAAAATAACACATATTTTTGTAAGTTAGCAGTTTTGGTGATATAAACAAAGTTAGCAAAAACAGATTTAAAAAAATTTAAATATATAGCATGTTATTATTACTTGGAGTCACTGCCATACATACCTTCTTTCTTCAAATTTCCTTGAAAACCATTTCATTCTTGTCACTTTTTCTTTGCATGACTAAGTCATTATTTTTCTTTAAAATACAGTATTTTTGAACAAAGCTTTTAATACTTGATTTTAATAAGTCTATAATCAGCTAAAATTGCATTATTTTAGGTTTTCACAGCCATTTCTTGTAGTTATTGTAGTAGAATCTCCATAGTTCTTTTTCTTATTTGTGTGAAAGGTACATCTTTTGTAAAACTTTTGTGGTATGGATGACTCAATGCAGGGCTTTTGCTCTGAGCTACATGCCCAGGTGTTTTTAATTTTTTTGTTTTGTGCAGTCTGGTTAAATTGTTAAATTGCCCAACCTAGGCTTGAACTTGAAATCCTCCTCTGTCAGACTTGCAGAGTTCTGGGATCACATGTAGGTACCACCATGCCCAACTTCTCTCTAAATTTAAATAAGAATGGCATGTAATCAGTGGCTTTTTTTTTTTAACCAACAACTTTCTCCATAAAAGTCATGTACATAAAGTGCGGCATAGTCATTCCTGACCCAAATTCAAAGTCATCTTCAATTGAAACATACATTTAATGGCACATCTGTTTCCAGAAATAGAGTGAAGTCTCCTCACAAACAATACTTGATAAATCTGAATGTGAAACGAGTCTCATTCCAGAATAAATGTGTGATGGTGTTCATTCTGATGGGCACTCAAGAGCACTCAAATGAGATGGAGCCTTCACAACCCTCTCTGTAACGTGCTTTTGGTTACTTTGTGGTTTCACCTTACACTGCCATCTCAGTGACCAGTGCTGCTCATCTGCTGATACTGTGTCCATATTTAAACTTTCTTCTCAGTGGATTTAGCGTCTTTCAAGTCATTGAGGATCTGGATTGTAATGTTACTTTTCCAAAGGGCACATATCAAATTCATACTCAGAGAATATTATTCTCTCAAGTAGGAATTGCCTATTTATTTTTACTCTACAGTTAGGAAAAGTTTGTCATTGGAGTTAGACAACTATGTGACATTACTTTTATCCTTCAGGTCGTCTCTAAAGTGTTTTTCAGATCTGATATATTTTTATTGTAAGATTAATTATATAATTTTATGGATAAAATGTAAACTTTTTTTGATTCACAGTAGCCTTCTAAAAAAAAGCATGTGGTTCTACTTTTGCAAACTCTCATGTGTTTTCCCTAAAAGAAAATGCAACAAAGGAAGAATTCTCTAATTATCTCATACTTGTTACAAAAATATATGTAATTACCACACGCGTGAAAGTATCCCTCATTTTGGGCACTAATACTAATTTACCTAAAGCAAAGCAGTTCTTTTGGTACAGCATAGACTTCAGATTCTGTCATGGCTATTTTCTGTATGTTTATAGCTCATGTGGGCAAATATACAATATAAAGAGTTTTCTTTATGTCTACTGCCTCGTTCTATAACATGACTTTATTCTGAATGTACATCTAATAATTTTATCTTAGCATTCTGATGTTTCTTTAGCCTTTTAACTTGTAATTATTTGAAAGCTTTCTTCTCAAGAAATTAGAATAACTTTATATTTTTATGATTTAAAAAATGCATCCCATTTCTTTAACTTTCGAGCTTCCTTATAAAGTTTGATGTCTTTGTTGACTGTAAGTTTTATTCCAGCTAAATGATGATCAACAACTTTTCAATATAGACCACTTTGATTAATGTCAATTTTTATCTCTTAAAAGGATCTTTCCCGGCCATTGGGGTGGAGACGTTTTGCCCCAGCTTCCTGAGGGCAGGGTTTTTAAGTAGCATCCAGGCCCCGCATCCAGTGCCAGGGGGAGGATCTTTGCCCCCCAGGATTCCTGCTGGTAGGTACTCCTGGTGAAGTTTTTTGATGCATATAAAATAGAAAAACTATGTTAGACTTAAAAACAAAATGAGTACAAAATACAAAAATAAATACTTCTAAAATGTGTTTTGAGAAGAAATGCAAGTAACTTTTTGTAATTCAGAACCCACATTTATGACACCTACTGCAAAATGGCATACAGGAAGTAGAAAGACAATCAAGGCACCAGGTATTCAATTAGCAAACACCGATCTACTGGGAAATTGGTGCATAAGAACCAGAGATTCAGATCTTTAATTTGTAACCCAAGAATAAAGCAATGGTGTTTAAGCCACTTTACCAGTTGGAATTGGCCGAAAAATAGAATTAAAAACTAAGTGTTCATGACAGAGAGAATAGTTCCATATTTCAGTGAGTGTATAGAGATCTAATTAAAGTTCCGTTTCACTAAAGAAAAATGATTTGAAGAAAAGCCAGAAAGTAGCAAATTTAGAAGAAATTTTTGAGAAGGAAAATTAATGTGCAGAACTCTATAAAGAACCAATTTGACCAAAGGCATTACATAAATTATAGAATATTGAGCATTTTAAATTGTAATTTCAAAGTTCAGTAAAACACATTATGTGTTATGGTCTGAGTATAATTATAAATTGTTTATTCCTGTCATTTAGTAAAATATTCAGCTGCTTTCCTCCATTATATCTAAAGGAAGGATACAAGTCAAACTGAAACTTTGTAAGTGTCTTAAAAAATAAGACTCTAAGCTAGGGATTTAGCTCAATGGGACAAGTGCCTGCCAGGCAAACAGAAAGTCATGAGTTCAATCACTGGTACACATACAAAAAAAGAAAAGGCTACAGTGTTGGTTCTTAAAGTTTTTTTGTCATGACTCTTACATTTTTTATCATAATAATGTTACATGTTATGTTAGTGACATCAATGTTTTCAAGAAAGCTGCTCAGCCAGCAATGGCATTAAAATAGTTGAAACGACTGTGACGTCCAATAAAAATAAAACCTCAATATGCACATTGTTTGGTTTTATTAGAATAATTATGCAACAAACTCTGAGATTATTATAATTTTTTGCCTTTCAATTATGCTTGTCTATTGCCAACATAAAAGAATTAACTATAAATACTCTTTGATGTCATTTGGTTTTATAGTTGAATAATTTAGCCAGGTGGTTAGAGGGTTTATGGCCAATAATGCCCATGATAAGAATAAGAAAATTATGTAAATCAAAATATTAATGATTTTAATTCCAATGAGTGGTATGTGACATTTTGCTTCCTGGAATCAGAAATAGTGTGGTATCAACTGCATAAGAAGTTTTTGCTGTTATTGCTGCTGCTGTTCCTGCTGTTGTTACAAAGGTTGGAGAGAAAAATGTGTATAGGCTGAGCTCTCAAAACTACCCATGATATAAAAATGTTTCTTTCATATACATAGTTGATTTTTCAGAGATTGGAATTAAGATGAACAGATGATGTACAGTTTAATGGCTTCCCTTTTAATGACAAATCTGGTAAATTTAGATATGTTTGGCAGAAATAATACAATAAAGTTTAGTTGTGATTGGAATTATTCAATATTACTGGTAAAATAAAGTAAAATAAACTGTAATTTTGCCACTGAGTATAATGGAAGGAAGATGATCTTTCCACAACACTAACATAGAAACAACTTTCCAGAGAGGAACCTTAAAGAATACTCTAGCACTATTCTTCTGGGCTTTAACCCAAATTTGCCTCTAGCTTTTATAGGAGAAAAAAAAAACTGTTCAGTTTTCATGACTTACATACAAATCAGGTGTCATAAAATTGCTTCATAAAAAAATTTATAGCTCTAAACCTATTCCTATTCCTTCAAACTGAAATCAACTCAACTCACTTTTCCTAGCTTACACCATTTTGATAAGTGATCCCTGTATACTTGTCACTTTTCAATAGGGAATGCTATAATTTCAAACTTAATTCTCATCCTCTCCTATGCAACTGTAACTTATTTCCCAAGAATTTCCTTTATAATTTTGTGTGAAGAGAAATGATACAGTAATCATAAAGAATTTTTATTATTTCAAAAGTTTTAACAACCTGAAATATATTTTCAGCATCTAACTTCCAAATGAATGCCACTTCAAGCTTAGACTATCAATGTGAGGACAGATCCCCGTATGCCTAACACTGTGACACTTTAGATAGTTGGCTGAAGGTTGCATTGCTCTGGATGGCAATTAATTTACTTTCCACCAATTGATTATATGTCACAGTACTTTGAAGGTCTCATAATATATTTCCCATGTTATTCAAGGCATTACCAAGCCTGTCTGAGTGATGATGTTAATGTAGTACCCAGTTACTTAAGTTAATCAAATTTAAATGAGATGCATGACTATGTCTTATATGAGATAGTTCCTTTGCTTCATGTCACAATGTGCTATCAAAAAAGCAATTATTTCCATGGTACTTACTTTTATATTAATTTTGATGACAAACTAATCACTGAATCGTGAAATCTAGAGAGCAGACAAACCTAAATCAGTCTTTATAGCGAATAGTCAATTGTCTATAAATATTTCACTTCTAGAAAATTTATAGTAAAATGTTATTATGCATAGTCTCAAATGGAGAAAAAACTAGGAAGTATTAGCTGAAAGTTGAATGCCAAGGAACAAACAGTATGTGAGTTACGTAAGTTCTAAAAATTCAATATTAAACTTCTCCCTAGTATTTCTTTTGTGATTAATCTTGGTACTTTTTGGTAAAGATGATGTTTTCTGAAGCAACATCTCTGTATACCATCCTGCACTTTAAACACTATGCTACAACAGCTATTTTGACATCTTTATCTAAGATTTTCTCCATCATATGACTTGTGGTAGGTTCAAAGAGAAGGGCAAAGGCAGAGTAAAACTCCCTGTCTCATTCCTCTGAGTCAAGAGGCCACATGGAGATTTGAAGGCTAGACTTGCATTCACTGAGTATATAATTAATGATGTTTAATATTATTTATTTACTCTCTGGGAATAGATTTTGATGAGGCTTAAACTCAAAAAGATGAACTTTTCCTAACCTTACTTCTCTCCCCTGATTAGCCATGCTAAAAAATAGAATCATAATCCAGTTTTCTATATACAACTAGACCATTTCTATAGCAAATGACTTACAATTATCAGTCAATATTAAAATGTCTAAAAAGTCTATTAACAATGATTATCGCTGGGGATTTAGCTCAGTGGCATAAGCACTTGCCCTGCAAGCAGGCGGTCATGAGTTCGATCCCTGGTACCGCTAAAAATGAAAAAGACAAAAAAAAAAAAAAAAAAAAAAAAAAAACAATGATTATCAATACACTCCATATTTCATGTGAAATACTGTCTGCTAAGGGGTCAGGGCAAACTTTCCTTGTACTATTATCTAATCACATCATTTTTTTCAGAAAGCATATGGTTTAGGTATTGGAAATAGACCAGGAATGATAAATTTGAATCTGCAGAAAGTCTAGGATCATGTAAATATATTACATTATGAGGTTTTTGATGCATATAGAGAATTAGAGAAAAGAAGTAACACAAATATTTATGACTAGGTGGCAGATTTTGAAGGAATAAGAGTAAGTTAAAGCGCATTGGCATAAACTCAGCAGTGAAAAAGTATACATTTTAAATACAGTCACTGTACTTCAGAAGAATCAAAATAAACTATTTAATTACTTCATATTTTTAGATATCCTAGAAAGTCAGTAGCTTTATTTTTGATTCACAGTGTAATATTTTAAATCACTTATAACAAAGCAACTTCTAGTAGCTATAATTCTTCCAATGATGACTACTCCTTGAATATGCAGCATATACAAAAATTTGCCTTACGTTTACCAAATATTATTATAATAATTAAAACTCTATATAACATGACGAGGTGGGTAAGTTCTTTAAGAAACTTCTTCAAGAGGAAAAAAATCCTTTTTATTTTATTAACAGGTGCATATATTTTACATTTTGTAGTTGAGGATCTTGCCCATTACCCCAGATGAAGTATATATGAATATGTTTATATGTACCTAATTTAAACCAAGAGCTAATTATGAAAGGAATTAGAAAATGTAGACTAACTATGCAAAGTAAAATCATGAATAAATCATATAAAATATACTGCAGTAAAGAGAAATTCCTTCATCTGGATTGCTAACTGCTAGTTTCTTTACTCTTTAGCATTTGCATGATTTTAACCCCCACTGCAGTCCCTACTCAATACCAGCTGCAACCTCTTTGCAGGGAACTAGCCTCTAAAGTTCTTGCAGCTGCAGCTTAGAAAGAAAGCCTGCAGAATGTCAAATATTAAAATAAAAAATGTATGGCGGGACTTTCAAGCACGTCTGGGCAAGAGATCAAGATCGCTGGTATTTCAGGAGTGGCAATAGACACAGAGAAGATAGGGTCATTGACAGAATAATGAGCAGAAGAACATACTTAGGCAGCTGACGCACAAGGATGATCTGACCAGTTCTTGTAATTCTAGTCACAAGAAACTAAACAGCCCTTTAAAATATTTGCAACCTTGTTAGTGCTAGAGGGTCATTTTTAAAAACCTACTTAGGATATATTCTACAATGCATACAAAGGGAGCTAAGTCAGATTTTCATCAATATGACAAGCTATCCAAGAAAATCAGTATAAAGGAGGAAAGGTTCATTGTGGTTAATGATTTCAAAGGTTTTGGGCTATAGTCACTTGGTTCCACTGCTTTTAGGCCTGCAGTGAGGTAGAAATATCAAGGCAGAAGGGTGTGGGTGGGGGAAAGCTGCTCATTTTATGGCAGCCAGTAGAAGAGAAAGACACCCTGTGTTAGAAGGCTTCCTCCTTCTCCACTTGATTCCATCCTGCTGTCCCTCCCACCATCCTACTGGATGGGAAAAAATGGAAGCTGTAACTCGAAGCTTCAAGTATTCAGTTGATACCAGCTTTATTGTAGTTAATGAGTTTAAAGACTCCTGGAAACAGTCAATCCTCATCTGGTAG